TTATTATTAATTTTTTAATTTTTAACATTGTATTTCCAATCAACGAAATAAATGCTCTAATAGATAAAAATATATTAGTTTTTTAAAATATTAGTTTTTTAAAATATCTAACTAAGGCTTTTCGTTTCAATGGAAAGTAAGTATCTATTTAAATAAAGTCTTTTATGAAAATATTCTACCTTTTCGATTTATTTTTACTCACAGATTACCACTATGAAATTGTGTGGATATTGTTATAAATTTAGGAAACTTTTGGGATATCTTATATATTTTTTATATCTATTAGCAGAATAAATTAATAGAAATCTTATTGAAACAAAATAATAGAGCATAATGTATATTTTATTAAATATTATAATATGCAATATCTTTTTTATTTATATCTTATATACAATTACGATATATATATAATCAAAAAATGACATATCTAATACCATTCGCATCTATAACTTAGATATATGCACAAATAAAATTTTACTTCCATAAATTATTTTCAAATAACAATTATTAGCTTCGAAGTATCCATTATTGAATTTATTATATTTAACATAATGAAACTTTAATAAACAATTATAAACTATTTTAATAAAAATTTTGTTTTATTATAATTCATAATTTATTTTGTTCATGGACATGGTGGACATGTATTAGGATTTGTACAAGGTGATACACACTTTTGCGTTATTGGATTAAATTTCAAATTATTTGGACATGTCAAATTATATTTGATGGTGGTTACACTATCTGTGTAACAGAAATAATATTGCGTACAAGTAGTATCTCCTTCTATTCGGAATCTACCATTACATGGCGTTGCTGGTGTTGTAGATTTACAAATAAAGCCCGCAGACGATACACAATTTTTGACCGAAGGGTCAAATACCATCGAAGCTGGACACGATGTATCGTACGAGACCAATGCTCCTGTATTATCATAATCACATATGTAATATTTTCTACACTCTGGATCGTCAATTGCAGTTGGTCCTATTGTTGTACACTTCCGATTAGAAAGAACTAATGATAATCCAGTAGGAATCGAATTAAAGATGGCAACAATTCCAATTACAACGAAGAATATGTTCATTTTGCGTATTGCACTGATCTGTCGAAAATTATACTTTGCCGAGAATCAGAGAGAATATGTTTCTTGGTTTAAGCTCTGCGGCGAATATATAACCCTCGCTGAATTTATTGCTTTATTGCAGTGCATTATAGTGTACATATTTTCCAAATTCTGAGAAAATCTGAACTGAAAATATCTCATAGTACTTTATAACTTTGTTTATAAGTGCAAAAGATATAAGAACCATTATTGCTTCCTTGTAAATAATACAATTGTAAAAACGTACAATTAATATAATCACTTCAAGATTTTTCAAGTTATAGTTAATAGACGTAAAGTCTTTTATTATACATACACGTTTTATATTGGTCAAATATGCTAAATGATACATCTAGTATTTTCTAACATATTTTTGTACTTTCAGTTACTTACGTAGTTCCTTCCTGCGAAATATGATATCGAAAAATTGTAAAAATGTTCTCAGAAATAACGTTAATTTATAACGTTTTCTTTTATCCGCTTTGAGAAAAAGAATATTTTCATTGCATGTAACTCATTGTCATTATTGTATGTAACTCATTCGTTAATATTGGATATATGAAATTTATAAATTAAAATTTTTTTTGCAGTCAAAAACGAGATGATTTCCGAAAGTTTAATCAGTTTGTTCTTAATCGTACTGTGGTAAATGTTTCACTTGTATTGCTCTATATTATATCATTATAGTAACAGTTGTTTTATTATCATTCATGATGTAATGCAAAACTGAGACATACTTCATTGAAATATAAACTTTATGATCGTTTTCATTAGTATTTTTATTTAAGTATACAATCTGAAATAAATTTTTATCAAGGACCATTGTAGGCATTGAAATTCAGCAAACGATTTATATAAATATTATATTTGATCAGACGTTAATAGACACAATCAAAAGTATCACAAAATATTTTTGAAAAATTATCATATCAAAAGTATCACAAAATTTTTTGAAAAATTATCATATCAAAGGAAGTAGATTTTCTACATTTCAATTTTCTATTAATTATCTCACAATTATCTCACTGTTCTCTAAATGGTTAAGTTCTTTATTACGTACGTAATAAGCATATTTCAAGTATCAAACGAAATAATCTCCTACAGAAGATTTCATTCAATAATTTATATGTTTCTCTTATCTTCTTCTCTTATCTTCTATCTTATACATCTGGTATTAGAACATGATATATTAATAGAATATGTTCTATACATTCTAAAAATTATTTGGATCAGTTTGTTAAAGATTTGTTGTCAAAGATTTATTAAAGAATGTTTTTAATTAGATTTGTTATTGTTGGAATATATCGATGAATGATGTAAATTGTGTGAGTGTGATTGCCTCTTTTAAACTAAACAAATGAACTCTAGCTTCGCGTACGATCTCTGAACGTACCTATGTATACATTTCCTATCAATTATATTATTGCGTATTCTTATTCTATAAATACTCAAATAAACTCTTACAGGTTATGCGTCCAGAACGATTCCAGTGCGCGAAAATTATGAGTAAAAATTAATCACGTGTGACGAACTTGAACAAGAAAAAGAAATCATGGCGTCTATGCACAACTTTTCGAATATAGATAGACTAAATGACAATAATTATGGTTTGTGGAAAGTGCATGTGAAAAGTGTTCTCGTGTATAACGATTTATGGTTAGTCGTTGATGGAAGTGAAGTGAAAACGGAACGAAATGAGATAGAATGGACAAGGAATGATGCAAAGGCACTTGCATTAATTAATATAAGTATAACACAAGGTCATACTTATATTAATATAACTCATATACATAAAACTCATATATATAAAAAAGGCTAATACATCAAAAAGAAAGATACATCAATACGCGACCGAATACGAGCACAAAGCCGGATGACTTATCGTCGATAATGATGCTAGCTACTTTACCAACCGAATATGAAAGTTTTACCGTTTTAGCGATCGAATCACGTGATGAAATATCCTCGTTCGAATATTTAAAAACGAAGTTAAAAGAAGAGGAAGCAAGACAGAATGATCGAATGTCATCGAATATCAGAAACACTCGTTACGAAGAACAATAAATTGAAATATAATCAAATACGTACGTACGCTAAAGAAAGAAATGGTACACAAAATAATCAGAGATACAACAAAAACTGTTTTAAATGTGGTAAACAGGGCCATAAGTCGTGATTGCCGTTCTAAAATAAATCGTAATAATTCCCGTTCGGCGCTGATAGCAATAACTTGCAATACTGAACTCGAAAAATCAAGTAATTGGTATTTGGATAGTGCGATGGAACATATGTGTAACTCGAAAAATGAATTTTCCATGTTAAAGCAAATGAAGCCAACAAACGTTTATATGGCTGTAGGCTATTCTGTAGAAGCATGTGGAGCAGTAGAATTAAATGTTTGTGTAAGTAAAAATAGATCCGCAACAATTGATGTGAAAGACGTTATTTACGTGTTGAAATTAAGAAACAATTTATTGTCTGTTTCTGCTATAACGTATAAAGGCTATCAAGTAAACTTCAGTCGTAATAATGTGGTAGTGAAACGTGCGGACGGTTCAATTGTATTGACAGCAACAAAGTATGAACAATTATATAAAGTAAATCAGAATAAACGTCGCGTAACGTGTGCGAAACCGTGAAGATGATAATACCATGAGGTGGTAACAATTATAAACTATTTAGATAAAAATATTTCTTCTATTATAATTCATAATTTATTTCGTTCACAAACATGTTGTACATGGGCTTGAATCTGTACAAGGTACACATTTTTGCGTTGCTGGATTAAATATCAATTTATTTGGACACTTCAAAGTGGTTACATCATTTTTGTAACAGAAATTATAATACTGACAAGAACGATCTCCAATCACTGGGAATCTACCATTACATAATTCTCTAATTAATCTTGGTGTTGTAGTTGTTGAAGTTGTTTTACAAACAAAGTTCGTAAATGATACGCAATTTTTGACCGAAGGGTCAAATACCATCGAAGCTGGACACGATGTATCGTACGGGACCAATGATCCTGTTTTATCATAAACACATATGTAATATTTTCTACACTCTGCATCGTTAATTGCAATTGGTCCCATTGTTGTACACTTTCGATTAGAAGGAAGTAATGATAATCCAGTGGGAATCGAATTAAAGATGGCAACAATTCCAATTACAACGAAGAATATGTTCATTTTGCGTATTGCACTGATCTGTCGAAAATTATACTTTGCCGAGAATCAGAGAGAATATGTTTCTTGGTTTGAGTTCTGTGGCGAATATATAACTCTCGTTGAATTTATTATTTTATTGCAGTGCATTATGGTATACATATCTAATGTAATATCTATACCTAAATTCTGAGAAAATGTGAAATTATCTGAAACTATCTCATAATACTTTGTAACACTTTGTTTATAAGTGAAAGAGATATAAGAACTGTTATTGCTTCTTCGTGAATAATACAAAAAAGTACAATTAAAATAATCGTTTCAAAATGTTTCCAAAAGCTATATATATAACGAGAGTTATATATGTAGTTAATAATGTGAACGAGAGTTATATATATAGTTAATAATGTGAAGTCTTTTATTAGAAATAATATACTTTATATTGGTCAAATATGCTAAATGATATATCTAGCATTTTTAATATATTTTTGTACTTTTAGTACGAACTACTTACGTACAAACTACTTACTTTCCAAGCCTGCGAAATATAATATTGAAAACTTGTAATCTTGAAATCAATATCTGTAATACTCTTAGAAATAATAATTTACAACAAATAATAATAAATTTTCTTTTACCCGTTCTTTATACAGAGGAAAATATATTTTCATTATATGCAACTCATAGTACAATATTGAATATATTAAATTTTTTTTACAGACAAAAATTTCAAACATAATGATTTCCAAAAATTTAATAACTTTGTTCTTAATCCTATTGTGGTAAATATATTACTTGCTGTATTGCTCTATATTATATCATTATAATAACAATTATTTTGGCCTAAATTCTATTATTACTCATGATGCAATACAAAACTGAGACATACTTCATTGAAATATAAACTTTATGATCGTTTTCATTAGTATTTTTATTTAAGTATACAATATGCAATAAATTTTTATCAAGGACCATTGTAGGCATTGAAATTCAGCAAACAACTTATATAAACACAATTAAAAATATCACGAAATTTTTGAAAAATTACCATATCAAAGGAAGTAGATTTTCTACATTTCAATTTTCTATTAATTATCTCGTAATACTGTTCTCCAAATGGTTAAGTCTTTTATTACATAATGATAAACACATTTCAAGATATCAAACGAAATAATCTCCTACAAATTTTATTCAATAATTTTTATGTTTTCCTTATCTCCTTCTCTTATCTTCTATTCTACACATCCGCTACGAGAATATGTCATATTAATAGGATATATTCTATACATTCTAAAAATTATTTGGATCAGTTTGTTGAAGATTTGTTGTCAAAGATTTATTAAAGATTTTTTTTAATTAGATTCGTTATCGCAATAATTGATTTTAATTTTAATTTTTAAATAAACGTAATTGTTCTCCAGATAACTTTTACTTATCCATCTTCGTTTCATTTGAAACTTAATTGTTTACAATTTATTTTCTACATGATTATAAGCAATGTCGATGATAACGTTGACTGATCTCTATTGTTACCAAAGAATCATTTTTTAGAAACTTATATTGTTCTCACTTTTGTTCAAGTTCATAAAATGATTTATTTTCATAAAATGTATTAAATTCAACCAAGTTGTTTTTTCTTTTTCGCTATCATTTTTAATACACATAATTTTTACCAATATTTGAAACATGAAAAATTTAGATTATAAATCAGATTTTAGGAAAAAGTTATCATATTATCATCATCATGTCAACACCCTTTCTTGTAACAAATACAACGATTTGCCAATACTTTTTATTGCTACTAATCATTTTATTTTTTAAATTTGGTATTGAAGTATCACTAATCTGTCCAATTAATTAAAATTTATTTGTCTGAAATGAAAGATCTACTCAAGTTTCGTTGTATTTTAAAAAATTTGTTTTATATATAAAACTTGAAACTTATTATTTATTCGAGTTTAATAAGAAGATCTTTATTGTTCATTCAGTTAACGTATGTAAGATAGGTATGTATTCACGTAAGATATAATAACGATGTAGTAAAAAATTTATTTTTCTTAGAATTCGTAGTTCTTTCGAACGATCCAAACATAATTTTCCCTCGATATCAAATCATTCTCTATCAGGGGGTTTGGGAACTTTGGCAAAGGTATGCACTATGAGAGAGAAATTGGTAGGTAGAAAAGGAGTCCGATTCTTCAAGAGCAAGAGAAAGGATAAAGAGATAGAGAAAGAGAGAAAGAAAAAAGGAAGGAAGGAAGGAGCAAATGTATATAAGCGACTTGCATGGAAGACGCGCCAATGGATTCTCTCTTTGACCCTACTGAAGCGTGCACCTTTCTTCTCGTTTTTTCTTCGTTCTCTTTAATCTCTCCGACGTTTTCCTCTACGAAATCCTTCTGTCCGGCGTCCTTGTTCTTCAACCTTCAACATTATCGTGAAGTAGCACTAGTTTCTCCGCATCGCGCACTTTCCGACTATGTGATACGAAAATGAACTTTGAGTTTATATCTCGTTCGTTGCAGTTTTCAAGCAGTATTTCAGTTACGTGAATTTTACAAGCTATTCCCTATTGAATAAAAAAGTGTGGTCACTGAAATAGAAAAAAAAAATCTTGTTTTTGTGATATGTTCCTGGCGAAAAGGATCTAAGTAACAATCATGAATTTTCTTCGTGTGAGTACAAACAACTTTTTTACATATTAAAAATTTTATTAAATTAATTAAATTTATTAAATAATAATATATTTTGAGGAACGACAATTTTAACTATTGTGGCTGTTGTAATTTTTATAACTATATTATGATTATTAAAATTCATCATATAGCAATAATTGATCGATTAAATAATACACAAATTTTATTTAAATCTTGACAATGAGTTAGAATGTCATACGTTAGGTTTTGAATAACTATTATATATTACTATATACTTTGTTTAATATTAAATTCTACATTTATATATTTCTTTATGTATATAGTTATTTCCCTATGTATATAATTAATTATCATATTGTAGATATACGCAGTAAAAGTTTGAAAAAAGAAATTTTAAAAAATAGAATAGAGTTGAAGTAAGTCTGAAATTTTCGATCTAAAGCTTTTTAATAAATTTGTTTTTATGAAATTTATGGAGTAATATAAAATATTGCTCTTTTCCATGAAATGTTTGTAAAAATATACTAAAATTATTTTATTTCTATTTTACTGTTTACAAGTTGATTATAGAACAATTTAAATATATATCTATAATATATTACACTATATTATATATACTATATATATTATATATAGTATTTTACACACACACACACACACACACACACACGCATGCACGCACGCACGCACATACATTAAGTATGTATTTATAAGTATAATCTATAGGTATCTGCATATACTATACTATATATAATTTATATATATATCTGTTTATATATATACTATCTATATATTAAGTGTATATCTGTTATAAATATTAAATAAACTGATACAATAAAATGATTATGATGATTTGTTATTAAAAATTTAATTTTGTAGTTAATTATCTTGCAATGTTAAAAATTTAACTTCAAAAGATGAATAAATCTTTTTGTTAGAAGTATCTTTCTAATTTGTCTTATATCCTTTTACACTTTTATAATTTTACAAATTAGTCTTTTTTTATAACAGCTTAAACGATTTATTTAATGTTGTGAAATAAATTTTTGTTTAATTGAAACTTTTATTCATACAAATACATTTTTAGTTAGAAATTAATGATTAGGAACTTTATACATATGTATTCCATTGCTTTTGCATTGTGTTTGTGAGAGTAGATGTTCGACTTTTTAATCATAGATTTTATGAGGCGAAAGTTATACTGACAGAGATAAATTACCTTTGTTTTAAATAAATTTGTTAGTGAATATATTTATCAATTATGCTTTGCTTTTATTTTCGCTAAAAATTTGCCATAGTCTTCTTTTAATTTATAATTAATATAAAAATTAAAAAAGTAAAAAAATAAAATTATCTTATTAATTGAAATGATTTATCTCTTAGAAAGCATATTTTTATTTCCTTTTTTAAAAAAGGGAATTAAGGAAAAAAGAATTTATTCAAATATATCATAAATGTGTTATGTTTCAAAAATATAATGAAATCAGATTCATTTTACAATTTAACTGTGTACCACATAATAAAAAGGCAAAGTTTACATTTATTTGTCTATTTTTGCATTAAGAATTACTAGACAAACCAGGTAGAAATATCGTGTCAGAGAAATTAAAGCGCAAGGGATAAGAAAAAGTTAATAATACAGTAAAGAATACAAACTTTTATTCATATATTTTACCAAAAAGTATTAAAACAGAATATAAGAATATAGTAACGTGAAAATAAATGAAACCAGAGCCAGTGTTAAATGTGTAATGTATTTAAAAAAAAACAGTGTTTTTACTTTGTATAGAATTCTTTATAAGATCGATCATATGTTTGATTTATCATGCAGAGCATATAAGGCGAAAGGTAAAAGTCTGGTAAAACAACGACACGACCAAATTTAACTATTTCAAAAAATTCACTTTCAATTAGTCTATTTCCAACTTACGATGAATTAGTTAACTGTATCAATATTAAAGATAGTATTTAGTTCCTTTTTTTTTTTAAAGCAGAAATCTATATTTCTATTTGTAATAATTTACCACTAATAAATGTAAAAAAATTTCTTATAACTTAATATATCGATTTCCAGATTGTGAAGAAGTGAAATTATTTTTCTTTAAATTTCGTTTTATAAAACTCACATCACCTTGCTTTTTATGAAGCTTCTTATATTTCTAAAGAAATTAGTTTTAATATCAGTAATATTCATTATATTAAATTTTCATTATATTTTTATTCTGATTTAAGAGTTACATTCTGAGATATATTATTTATGATACATACACCATCATTACCAATGATTTAATAAAAATTTGAAAAGTAAAAATAAAATAAGTAAGAATAAATAAGAATAAAAATAAAGATATTAAGAAATAATATTTATTTTAAATGAAAATATTAATTATAATTTGAATAAAACCGTAGCTTTATTGAAATTCAGTATAATATATTTAATAAAAGGAATTTTTCTATTTTTCATTATAAACTTATATTTTTCGAATATAAATAGAAAAAAATTCCTTAAAAATGATCAATATATTTTACATCCGATTAACTTTTAATGATTACCATAGTACATATTAATAAGCATAAGAAACGTTTATTATTTATAATCAGATACAAGAAATGTTCAATGTCATTGTTTGATAATATAATATAGCATTTAAACGTTTATTTAAAATTCTGTTACCAATAACAAGCTTTTTGGTAAATCTTCAAGAAACAAAGAAATTAATCTGCAGAATGAAAATGTCCATTTGCAAAAGCTTTCGAAAGTTAGAACTGATTTCTATACATCGTGAATTGTCAATCACCCAACAAGGACGTCGTGAACGCTGTGAGGGAAACATATGCTCGACGCTTTCGAATGATCCTCGTCGTTTGGCACAGTGCCAACATAGGAGCGAAACTTTTTCGTCTATGACCTAAATCTGTCGCTTTTAGTTTGCGCATTTCTTTTTCTTATCAGTGTCAATATAAATCTTCTTCGAATAAGCTTCATGGCTTTATTAAATACTGAGGCAATTCTGAGTGAAAACTTTACTTCCGTGTTCTGATCAAATATTTATACATTGCATAGATGTCACGTGACTCATATGATGCTTAACGCTATCCGTTTCATTTTTTTCTCCAAGATAACAATAAGATCCTCTCGTTTGATAAAACAATTAGCCAAATTTTATTGTCCTAATTTAATTGTCTTTTCATTAGTCAAATTTTATAAGTTAGTTTTATAAGTTTAAGTTATCGCTGCTAGTATATTTTCTTGCTTTTAAAACAATTTAGCAGAGATTAACAAAATAAATATAATTTTACAAGTACAGTTTCACATTTTATGAATTATAAGTTGATTATTGCAATCAATGTAAACTTGTAACAATTGTAGGAATTAATTGCAAATTAAACTAATAGTAGAATAGTATTAACTCTGTCAATCAACTGATGTAATCAATTAGTGAATTATTATATATTTTATTATAATTATGTATGTACTTTGTACATAATTATTATACGTAATTATTATATAAAAGATAACTTTTATGTGTTTATTAGTAACAGATTTATATGTAACATTTTAATCATAGCATTGATTATTGCACTCAAAAGAAAAATGTTTGAAAAATCTTTTGGAGAGAAATATTTGCTTCAAGGAAAAACGTAAAAAACATAATTTATTACTAGACTTATTGATGTTTATATTTAAAAAAAGAAAAGTTCTCGAAAAGCTAATTTTTACATCTATATTAAATGTTAGACCTTAAATATTAAATAGAATTTATCCATTGATCACAAAATTAAGAAAAATATTAAATATATTTTGTATCTATTATTTTTTGACATTTATTGAAAGAATTTTTATAATTATCTGTCCCATTGAAACTATTTCATTAAAATCATTAGAATTTAGTTTCTCTTAAAAATAATATTTCTAGATTTTCATTTTATCTATTGTTATTAAGTTCTTAATAAATTTTCTGTTTGAAAGTTTACTTCTATTAGTCAAAATTACAAAAAAGATTATAAACCCACAAATTAATGTAAATTATATTTAATTTAAGATAAATTATATTATTCATGCATGCACACGCGTGCGCGCGAATTATATACTGCGATGATTGTATAATTAAATGAAATTAAATGATAATTGTAATTAAATGAAAATGAAAATATATAGATTAAATGAAATCAAGATTACATTTACAATATAATATTATATTTGATACAAGGAAAACAAAGCTTGGTTTGCTTATGTAATAGCGAATAGATTTGGACATTTTATATACATTAATACATTATATAAAATAATTTATATTTACAATATAAATTTACAATATAAATTATATATATCATATTTATGTATTTATATCTAAAATTATGTATGAAATATCCAAAATTTTCTATTTCAAATTCATTTCGATTTTATTCAACCTATATATTTTCATTTTCACTTGATTGTAATTATCACTTCATTGTCAATTTTATTTAGTTATCTTACAGTTGAAATACTATAGAAATGAATTGTTTTTTATCGCAGTCTTCTACATGCTAACTTTGTATACGTATAAATATGTTGTAAAATTCTATCTATTGATAATTTTATCAAAAAGTCTGTAAAAAATTACAAATAATTTGAAATTAAAATTATTATTAACAGATTTATAAATTATTTTCAATCAGCAAAATAGAAGTATTAAAATGGGATTTTTAGTACATTAAATGTTTAAAAATGTTTTTAATAAACGACGATATCATTTCGATTTAAGGTAACCAAGTAGAAAATTGCAGATTCATTATTGGCATTGGTTAGTCTCAATTAATGTCGGCATTCATTCTAGCACACGTGTTGCTCACACGAGCACACTAACACCTTGTTGAATGCATATTATACAGATTACATGCAACCATACATTACATCTTCTCACTACAGGTCGACTTTCGTAATACTCACAGCCCACTTACCTACATTACTCCTGCTACACAAGTAGTCTTTCTCTCTCTCTCTTTCTTTCTCTTTCTCTTTCTCTCCTCCTCTCTCTGTCTTTCTCATATGTTTCACTATTACACTATGTGAACCATCTACTCTTCAATGGAAAATAATCTATCTCACGATCAAACACAGTCGATTATACGTATGCTACTTTTCGATAGCCAAAATTAGACAATAATTCTAATGATTCAATTATTTCCTTGGATCTCCGTAAGAATTTTCTTTAAATCCTTATTAGCCTTAAGTCGTATTAGCCGGATAGTAATTTAAAACTTTCTTTTACTATGTTTTTCCATTCTGACGGATGTGTTTAATAAATTTATAATGAACATGCTTTACGTAATGATAAAACATTAGAAAATACAATTTTTATCTAGTAGTAGATTCAAATTATATAAAAGGACAAAAATAAGTTAATTCAAATATTTCCATATGTTTTCATAATACTCGGGATTATTTTCTTACAATTTTGAGATTTGCAAATGCTCATTAGTTAAAAATATTATTTATGTAGTAACTTCCAGAAGATATATCTAAATAGTTATATCTTGAATTTTTATAAAAAGATATCTTAGATTTTTGAAATATATTTCAAATAATGATAATAATTTTCCAGAATTATGTATCAAAATTAATATTTTATACATAACACAATGTTTATAAAATACGTTTCTGATAGATTTACTAATAACAGCAAAAATATTTTTATAACTTTTTAAAACCTTTTTTTTGAAGCTTTCCAATCTAACGTTATTATTTCGTTTATAATATTGCTTGTTATGAAGACTATCTTGCTTATTGAATTTATTACTTAATTTAAATTTCATTATATACGTTATCCAGTTCATTTGTGAACGTAAACGGACCAAGTAATTCTGCTTTTTGAAACTTGTTCCAAAGTAACGACACAAAATGATATTGTTCGCTACTTTCGCTTGAGTAACAACTTCTTATCCGCTAAAAATATAAAGCACACTGACGTTAGTAAGTTTAAAAGTGATATGAGGGGACTGTATCTTTTTTTCTCCATTTGTTCACTTTCTTATGCAGTTCCGGTTCTCGCTGTAAGTACGGTGATCTGCGAGTACTCTCGTTCTTTCACACACGTCCGCATATTTCACGGTAAACGTAAAATAGCACGTGGAGTTCCACGGGAACACCATTGAATTTATGTCTCGTGAGAAACTCGTCAGCAATAGTTGGTCGCTCAAATCTTCTCTGCACTCAATTTTATGCCATACTTGCTCCCCTTTCACTTCTGACCCTTTGTTTTCGATAATTTAGCTGAATGCTAGTTTACGATAATGAAGGAAAAGATTACTAATTATTTTTTACTTTACTAACTGTCTATCGTCATGCTTACAATTGCAAAAATGATTCTCTACAAAACCAATTCGATTTCTATTGAGAATTTTAGATTGTGTGAATTGAATTAAAATTTTCAAATTAGAAAGTCTAGAAATTCCATCATTTCCCAGAAACTGTAATAAAATAATTAATCTTCATTCAGTTTTATTACTTTTTAAAATATTTATATTTTACCAACTCGATAACAAATTATATACATGAAATTAATTACATATATGAAATGTTATAATAAAAAATTTTATATAATTGATTCAATTGTTACAAAGTATGTAATTGTTTAATCAAGTGAAATTGTACAGTTCTACCATAAATCACAGCTGTACTGAATGTTCCTCAGAAGATGACCCAGTTTATCCTGTATTTATTTTCCATGGTTATTGAGCATTGTGAGAAGTGTACACGGTTCTCTAAGCATATGTATTTATGAATTTTCATTTCTTGTTAAAAATGTGATATTTTAATTATTATCATTAAATTAAACATATCTTATTTCTCTAATAATGATACATTTTATGATATATTTTTTAAGAGACAAAATTATTTATATTGCATTCTGATTTGGAAACTATTTATAGTGAGTTTTAGCCAAAAAATTGTCGCTATTATAACTTAATTTATTTTAAAGCATGAAACCTTTATTTTCACAATGCCTTATTCATTTTTTCTAAGATATTTTTACGTACATTATGTAGTAAATGGGAATAAATTTCTTTCTTCAAAAATGTTATAAATTGTCATAATATGCAAAAGCATTGAAAATTTTTTTTATCATTAAATTTACCATAGATCTAAAAATTGAAGCCTCCAAAATTTGATGTACTTTTTTAAATCATTTTATTAAACAGAAATATGGTACAAATCCAGCCTTATAATTATATATTATTAAATCAT